CCAGCAGCAGCAGAGGGAGCATGGCGGCGCCGGTAGCAGCAGCAGCAGCAACAGCAGTAAGGGCAGGAGCAGCAGCACCGAAACATGCAGTTCAAGACGAATCTGTAGCGAAGTTGATTTGCTGCAGTTGCTGCGGCTTCAGCAGCTTCTGCTGCTGCTGTTCCCTCGTATGGTTGTGCGCTGCAGCCTCAGCAGCAGCACCGCACAGAGGGCAGCAACAGCAGCAACAGCAGCAGCTGCAGCAGAGGATTCTTGCTGCTGCAGTGTGTGCCATACACAGCAGCAGCTGCTGCAGCAAATCGAATACGTCTTGCGCAGCAGGTGGCTGGTGCCGACCTCGCTGCTGCTGCAATCCGTGCTGCTGCTGCATGTGCTGCTCCAGGTAGCCTTGGCTCAGGCAACAGCAGCAGCAGCAGCAGCAGCAGATGGAGCGACAGCACAGCCGCTGCTGTTGCAACGTATCATCAGCTCCGAAGCTGCTCCCTTGCTGCTTTTGCTGCTCAAGGAACTTCAGTGGGGGAGTCTGCCGCAGCAGCAGCAGCAGCAGCGCAAGCATTCGCTGCTGCAGCAGCTGCGGCAGTACCTACAGCAAGCAGCGGCTACGTATACGTCCTGCAGCAACAGCAGCAGCAACAGCCCCCGGGGTAGGAGCAGCACCAGGAGCAGTAGCAGCAGCAGGAGGAGCAGCGCCACTAGTAGCTGCAGCACCAGCAGCAGCAGCAGCACAGTGGTGAAGAATGCTGCAGCTGGCAGCAGCAGCAACACCTCCTCCGTTGCTACCTCTCTCTCCGATGCTCTCCCGCAGCAAGTGCAGGAGGAGGAGGAGGAGCAGCAGCAGCAGCAGGAGCGGCAGCAGCAGCAGCAGCAGCACAACGGGCAACTGAAGAAGAAGAGCAGCAGCAGTTCTAAGCTGCATGCAGATGGTTTGCTGCGGCTCTCTCTCTTCTCCTCGTTGGCGTTTGCTGCAGATGATGCCGCTGCAGCTCACGCTTACCAGCAGCAGCAGCAGCATCATCAGCAGCAGCAGCAGCGGATGCATCTGAGCCAGGCAGTGCTGGAAGCAGGTAAGACCGAGTGAAAGTCCTCCGCTGCCGCTTTTGCTGCTGCTGCTGCTGCTGTGTGTTCTTGCTGCCGCTGCGGCTGCTGCTTTTGCTGCTGCTATTTTGTGGCGCTCCTTCGCAAGGATTCGTGCTGCTGCTGTTGTTGCTGCTGCTGCAGTGCACTGCCTCATATCGAATGCTCCAGTTGCGCGGTGGGCAGCAGCGGCTGTTGCCGCACCGAACAGCAGCAGCAGCAGCAGCAGCAGTACCGAGACCCACGCGAAAGGAACTGCAGCTGCTGCAGATGATAGCGAAGACGCAGCAACTTGGAGCCGAGGCAGCAGCAGAAGCAGCTGCATCAGCAGCAGCAGCAGCAGCAGCAGCACCAGCAACAGCAGCAACAACAGCAGCGGTTGGAGGAGGATTGACACCACTGAGCTCGAGCAATATCAGCAGCAGCAGCAGCAGCAACAGCAGCAACAGCAGCAGCAGAGAATACGACAGTGGCGAAGGATTCCTCTTTTGTGCTGCGACAGGCTGACGGAAGGGCTGATTTTGCTGCTGGCTGAGGCTTGCAGCAGCAGCAGCAGCAATAGCAGCACTGTTTGCTGCTGCTTTAGCTGCACAGGGTTGCTGCTGCGTTGCCTGCAGCTGCTGTGCTCTCAGAGGTCGCTGCAGCAGCGGCTGCTGCGCCATGGAGTCCCCCTTGCAGTGTACGTACACCCAACAATTGCATATTTGCTGCTGCTTTGCTGCTGTGTTAACTGTCTTCTTGGCTGCTCCCGCTGCTGCAGCAGCAGCCGTAGCAGCAACAGCTTGGTGTTGTTCTGTGTGGGTGCTGCAGGCTGCAGTTGCTGCTGCTGAGTGGCGGTAGCAACACGGAAGAGCAGCAGCAGCAACAGCAGCAGCAGCACCAGGAGCGGAGGCAGCTGCCGGGGCCGGAGGAGCATCAGAACCTACAGCAGCAGCAACAGCAGCAACAGCAGCAACAGCAGCAACAGCAGCAGGGCGTCCGCGAGCAGCACTCAAGATTGGGGGATGTGCTACGTTTAGGCGCAGCAGCAGCAGCAGCAGCACCCGCCAAAGCAGCAACAGCAGCACCAGCAACAAAAGCAGCAACAGCAGCAGGAGTGGTGCAGCTTGAGGAGACACGGCTGCTGCTGGCTGAAGTTGTTGCTGCCTTTATGGGCATTGCTCCCCGCTGCAGCAGATTTGCTGCTGCTGCTGCTGCTGCTGCTGAAGCCGAGACGGAAGCAGAGTGCAGCAGCAGGTTTATATCATTAAGAGGCAATGTTCTCCAGTGGGAGCCCCCAGACACACAGGCAAGAGGCGCCGTTGCTGCTGCTGCAGCTGCTGCTGCTGCTGCTGCTACTGCTGCTGCTGTGGATTCCTGCAGTATTACCTGCTGCAGCTTCGCTCTCTGCTGCTGGCGCTGCAGCTGTTGCTGTTGGGGCGTATGGTGCTGCAATTTCTGCTGCTGCTACTTCTTCCCCCGTTGCTGCTGCTGCTGGTGCTGCCGCATTGAATGATTTATGCATGTTTGCTGCTGCTGCTGCTGCAGGTAGTGAAGGTCTTAGCGCAGCTGCTAACCCCGGCGCTGCTGCTGCATCTGCTGCCACAACACGGAAGCTGCACCGCGTGCAGCAAACTGTGGCTGCTGCAGCTGTCCCTTCTCAGCAGCAGCAGCAGCAGCAGCAGCAGCAACAGCAGCACGAGGGCAGCAGCGGCTGCTGCAGCAAAAGGCGCCTCCAACGACCTAACAGCGGAGCTGCAACATGATGCATCAATGAAAGGAGCAGCAGCAACAGCAGTAGCAGCAGACGCAGAAGCAGCAACAGCAGCAGCAGCAACAGCAAGGCTGCTGCCTTCTGCTGCATGCAGCAGCCTCCAGCTGCGACGATTTGTTCGCCTCTTCTTGGGGTGTACAGACACCGCAGGTTGTCTTTGGAATAACACAAATCGACAGACAGTGCATGCAGATACAGTACGACAAAGCACTTGCGCTGCTGCTGCTAATGCTGCTGCTGCTAATGCTGCTGCTGCTAATGCTGCTACTGCTAATACTGCTGCTGCTAATGTTGCTGCTGCTAATGCTGCTGCTGCTAATGCTGCTACTGCTAATGCTGCTAATACTGCTGCTGCTAATGTTGCTGCTGGCAATGCTGCTGCTGCTGTCTGCGGCGCACTCCAGCTGTGTTGGTTAGGTCTGCTTCTGCTGCTGCTGGTGCTGCTGCTGCTGCTTGTGTTGTTGCTGCTGCAGGCGCGGCAGCTGCTGCTGAGTCTGCGCTCCATCGACAGCTACAGGAGACGCAGCAGCAACAGCAACAGCAACAGCAGCAGCAGCAGCAGCAGCAAGATGCTGCCTGTGTGGCGTGTTGAGGGGTTTCTTGCTGCTGATGGCTTTCACTATCAGCACCCGTCGCTCCGCAACAGTAAACCCTAAACCCTAAACCCTAAACCCTAAACCCTGAACACTAGAGAGGGTTAATCGTGTTTCCTAAACAGCTTCACCCAGTTGGCGATAAGCAAAAGGACAGCAGCACCAGCAGCAGCAGCATCAGCAACCGCAGGGGCTGCTGCTGCTGCTGCTGTTGCTGTAGCGGGGCTTCATTTGGAGGTTGTGCAGCTACTTGGCTAGGTAGCTGTCTATTAGCTAGCTAGCTGCCTTTCACGTCTTGTGCTCTTGTTTATCTCTCCCTCTGCTGCTGCTGCGGCAGCTGCTGCCAAGTGATGAAGCTCTAATACCTGCTGCTGCTGCTGCTGCTGCTGCTGCCGCTGCTGCAGGGGACTTTGTCGGCGGTCTTTACTTGAGGCCTCTAGCCATGCGCATGTACAGACAGCAGAAGCTCGCTTCGAATTTGCTTCTCGAGATCAGCTGCAGCAACAGCAGGTGCAGCAGCAGCAGCAGCAGGAGCTACCGACTCTGGGGCGGCAGCAGCACTGCCCTGCAGCAGGCTGCTGCTACTCCTGCTGCGTTTGCAGCAACATTGGAGGTCAGCTCTCAGCAGCAGCAGCAGCAAAAGCAACAGCAACAGAAGCACTGGCATCTGTGTAGGTGCTGCAGGAAACAGTGAAGGTTGAACGAAAGGTTTTGCTGCTGCTGTTGCTGTTGCTGTTGCTGCTGCTTTACAGGCTTTGACTGCTTCCGTAGCTGCAGCAGCAGCTGCAACAACATCAGAGGGTGTTGGGGATGAAGGGCAGCAAAAAGCAGTGCGCAGTCCAGCATCAGCAGCAACAGCAACAGCAGCAGCAGCAGCAGAAGCAGCTTCTGCTGCAGAAAGCCCTCTGTACCAGCGTGTCGTCGGTGTAGCTGCCTTGCTGCAGCAGCGCCTCGTTCTGCTGGAGCGCGCCAGGGAGCAGCAGCAACAGCAGCAGGAGCAGCAACAAGACTACTGCAGCAGCAACAAAGCGCTGCTACCGCCGGTCCTGCTGCTGCCCTTACTTAAGCTGCTGCTGCAGCAGCTGCAGCAGCAGCAGCAGTACCCCAACCCTCTTCTTTATGAGGTGCGCACAATGCAGAGCCAGCCCACAGCAAAGAAGCTGTAGCACAGGCGGCAGCATCAGCAGCAGCAGCGAGAACAGCAGCAGCAGCAGCAGAACCGAGAACATCAGCAGCAGCAACAGTGCAAGGTATGAATGCTGCTGCGGATATGCTCTTCTGTGTATGTTGCTGCTGCTTCTGCTGCTGCTTCTGCTGCTGCTGCTGCTTCTGCTGCTGCAGGCGATTGTTGTTGCGCTGCGATTTGCCCTGGAGCTTTGCAAGACGGTGCGGTTTATTAACCCTAAACCCTAAACCCTAAACCCTAAACCCTTGGAAGACGAGCACTGCACCATCATTAGGGAGACTCCTGCACAGGGCCTCACGTCAATTATGGTTTAGGGTTTGTAGTTTAGTTGTGACGGATTAGGGTTTAGGGTTTAGGGTTTAGGGTTTAGGGTTTGTGTACAGAGTGCATTTGA